CCGGTTGAGCTATAGGCGCCGAGCCTATTTTTATTTTTTTTAATCTTTATTTATTGTTGCAATTTGGCCAGGGCCAGATTTGAACCCACCACTCTTGGCTTATGGGGCTGGCGCCCTACTCACTGACCCACAGGAGCCACCCGTAATTTTTTTTTGGGACAAGAGTCTTCGTCACCCCTAGTAGAGTGCCGTGGCATCACAGCAGACAGCAATTTCAGACTCCTGGGCTCAACTGATTCTCTTGCCTCAGCCTTCTGAGTAGCTGGGATTATAGGCACTGGCCACAATACCTGGCTATTCTTTTTTTTTTTTTGAGACAAAGTCTCACTATGTCTCCCTGGGTAGAGTGCCATAGCATCACAGCTCATAGCAACCTCCAACTGTTGGGGTTAAGTGATTCTCTTGCCTTAGCCTCCCAAGTAGCTGGGACTACAAGCTATTTTTTGTTGCAGTTGTCATTGTTATTTAGCTGGCCCAGGCCAGTTCGAACCTGCCACCCTTGGTGTATGTGGCTGGCACCTTAACCACTGTGCTAAGGTCGCCAAGCCACACCTGGCTATTTTCATAGGCGAGGGTCTTTCTCTAGCTCAGGCTGGTCTTGAACTTGTGAGCTTAGGCGATCTGCCTACCTCCGCCTCCCTGAGTGCTGGAATTATAGGTTTGAGTCACCACACCTGGCCTTCTACTGTGAAAATTTTTAAGTCCCACCCCGACCCCGCCAAAAATGTAAAGCCAAGAACAAAAAAGAGAGTAGGTAAGTGGTTACTTGAGAATAAGGGGAGGATGTACAGTGAAGGAGTAAAGGGTTTCTTTCAGAGAAAACAACAATGTTCTGGTGATGCTTACACATTGTACTATATACTTTAAGTGGGTTAATTTTATGATATGTGAATTATATTTCAATAAAGCTGCTAAAAAAAAAGAATGCTGAGGAGCACCAGTGGCTCACTGGTTAGGGTGCTGGTCACATGCTCCAGGACTGGTGGGTTCCAAGGGGCCAGGGCCTACTAAACAACAACAACAAAAGGCGGCACCTGTACCTCAGTGGACAGGGCATGGGCCACATAGACCAAGGCTAGCAGGTTCAAACCCAGCCAGGGCCAGCTAAAATCAACAATGACAATTGCAACAAAAAAATAGCTGAGCATTGTGGCAGGTGCCTATAGTCCCAGCTACTTTAGAGGCTGAGTCAAGAGAATCACTTAAGCCCAAGAGTTTGAAGAGTTTGAGGCTGCTGTGAGCTGTGACGCAAGGGCACTCTACCGAGGGTGACATAATGAGACTGTCTCAAAAAATAAAAATAAAAAAAATATCCAGGCATTGTGACCAGCACCTGTAGTCTTCCCAGCTACTAGGGAGGCTGAGCAAGAGAATTGCTCAAGGGTGACAAAGTGAGGCGCTGTCTCAATTTTTAAAAAATGCTATATAAAGTTAATATAATTAACTACAGGAATACACCAAATAAAAAACACCCCAAAATTTCTAAGACCTAAGAAAGGAGACATCCTGGATATCTTACCAGTTTTGATCCCCACTCCTCATGACAGAAGATGCTAAGCACAGCTTCTCTCTGATGGACCATGGTTCTGTGGGGCCAGTGCTCAGCAGCTTGTGTTCTGAAAGGAAAGGAGGCTTAGAAACAATGGCTAAGACAGTAGTTCTAAGCCCCGGAAGGAGGATTAAAAGCCTAATGCAAAATATCCCAACTTGTCGACAGAACCAAATTTTTATTTTCACCTCTCCAGTGAAATATCACCACTGGATGTAGTATCTATTTGTTGCTTGCGAATTATAGCAGAACATTTTTTCTTCAAATACCATAGGTTCAAGCTCCGTTCTATTAAAAAACGGGGAACGTGGGATTAAACAGTGAAATCGAAAACCTCAGTTTTAAGAATTCTGTACTTTCATTCCAAACTGAACGCGCGGGCTTATTTCCCAAGATTCCGAGGTGGCAGCCCCTCCTACTGTCCCGCCTCCTCTTAGCATAAACTTGTTTACTTCTCTCAGCTCCTCCCCATCAACTACTTTTAGAGGCCTAAAAGACCTCTTCTTTCCATGAAACACAAAAATGGCTGAAACGCAGCAAGCGCAATTTCCTCAGTGGCAAAAAGCTCATCGTCAAAACAGCTCCGTCTGTTCACAAATGCTGGTGGGAAAGTGAATGGTTCTTTGAGATGCTAACCACCCCGTGTGGCTCACAGATCTCCTCGACTGCACCCGAACATTTCTAAAGTGCCTTTACGCTTACCCTGCAGAGCTACCATAAAAGGACTCACTGAGCTGCTTATCTCAATCCTACGCTTCCTCCCCAAAACACAAGACCCTAGGTTTCTGGGCCTCCAAACGAGGGCCTCCAGGACGCCGTCGAGGTCAGGTCTCTGAAAACCTAGGCTGTCAGGCACACCACTTGTCCCACTCCTTGAGCGTTTAACAGAAAGGCGGTGCCTCGCCTCGGTTCCACAAAGGCTTTCTACCGATAAACGACGCAGATACTCACTGCCGGTTCCTGTCGCCATCTTGGCCTCGAAGTCTCCCACCTCAGAGGAGTAACTGTCCACTAAGGCCGAAGCCAAGGAACTCTGGGAAATAGAGTGCTGGAGTTGATTCGCAGTGGCTCTTGGGAAACGTAGTCTCCCCCGTCCACGACGAAGCAAGCGGCCTAAACCAGTTGTCTTGTTCGCTTTTCGAAACGAGTATTGCTAAAGGAGGATAGAAGATGGCGGCTAAAACCTCAGGATTTCCTTTAGGCTTCTTAAGAGAGAAATGTCTGGGGTTCAAGGAAAAGGGTCAAATGGGACAAATCCCGGGAGAAACTCCGAACTCGCGACAGTTGGTATCCCGGACCCTCATTAGAGTTGGGCTGTGAAGCCTAAATTAACGGCTTACCAGGCTTCTCCGCCCCCTATCCTTACGCTGATTGGTAGTAGCAGGTTTCGCTATCTGATTGGCCGAACGAACGCAGCGCGTAATTTAAAATATTGTATCAGTAACAAAGCTGCACCTCGTGGGCGGAGTCGGGCTCTCTGGTTGTGAAAGTTCGGCGACCGAGTGTGAGTGGGCCAGTACCCGAGAAGGAAGAAGCGTCACGTATTCGGGTGAGTGTGCGGCTGAGCTGGAGCCCGTGATACCAGCTTTTGCCTGCGCGAAATAGGCGCGGAGTTGCAGCCATCTCTTTTTCTTGATAGTGCACCTCGGTTCGGAGTGAGGTTGGAGGAACCTAGGGATTCTGACACCACTTCACAGCAACGGCGGGCGAGACACCCCCTTACTTTCTACTTTTGAAGCCAGATACCTGTTGATTCAGGTCCAGGTGCAGAAATGCCGCTTAAACTGAATTAAATAATTAACTCGTTCTTTCATCCTCTTACTCTTTGCCAGTAACTGGAGGGGAAAGGGAGTAGTAATTCAGTAAGCAGGACCGGGTGTCCTGGGGCAAGGGAATTGTTTTTTACCTAGGCCCCTAGAGGGCCCTCCTGTCCCTTAAGATTCTTCTCCCTACTCCTCTCTTTATAGATCCAGGCAATTCCTGCCGTTATGTCACAAGGGATCCTTTCTCCGCCAGCCGGCTTGCTGTCAGATGAGGATGTCGTAGTCTCCCCCATGTTTGAGTCTACAGCTGCAGATTTGGGGTCTGTGATACGCAAGGATCTGCTGTCAGACTGCTCTGTCATCTCCACCTCCTTAGAGGACAAGCAGCAGGTAAAGGAATTGGGAAGTGGCTTGGGGCAGAAAGTGATATCCTTAACTAATAGTTGTCCATATAGGGCAGCATGTGGTCAAAAAACAGCAATCCTGAAGATCTCAGAGATTAATTGAAAATTAAGGGCATGGGCTGGGTGGGGTGGCTCACACCTATAATCCTAGCACCCTTGTGTTCAGGAGTTCAAGGAGACTGCTCTCTACTAAAAATAGAAAAAATTAGCTGGGTGTGGTGACCAGTAGTCCCAGCTACTTGGGAGGCTGAGGTAAGAGGATTACTTGAGCCCAGAAATTTGAGGTTACTGTGAGTTATGACACCACCGTCCTCTAGACTGGGCCAACAGAGTGAGACTCTGTTTTGTTTTGTTGTT